GGTGCTAGGGACCGTATATCCGTCGTTGTATGGTGGTTTTTTCGAGGGTTAACTGCACTTACTTGCGGGCCTCGGCCTCCCCCGGGGAGGGGAGGAGGGGAGAGGCGGAGAGACGATTTACTGTGCACGTAGTCAAATGGTCAGCCTTTATCGAATAAAATATTCACTCTCGGCTCGTAGCCAATCTCAGTGGATCTGATAGGGTGTAGTGATCTCCGGGGCCGGACCCCTCGCAAAAGATGCTGCTGTTAGCCGATAATGGTGCCTTGAATGCGATCCACTGGGATTCGAACCCGTGCGTGAAGCTTTTGTCGCCAAACGTTAAATCATTTGTAAAGTCAGCGCTGACGTACTAATAATGGTTTAACATTTGGCCCTGAAGGATGCACGCACGGGTTCGAATCCCAGTTGATCACTTTCAAGTCACCATTATCGGCTAATACATGTAGCAACATCTTGTGGCTAGGGGTCCGGCCCCGGTGATCACTACACCGTATCAGATCCACTGGGATTGGCTACGAGCCGAGAGTAGTGTATCTTTTATTCGATTTAGCATGCAGTCAAATGGTCAGCCTTTATCGATCGATGACTATGCATGTAGTCAAATGGTCAGCCTTTATCGAATAGAGGCAGCACTCGTGGCCGCCTTGATACCCTCGTGGACAACAGATACGTCAAAGTTATTCCTGGAGCAAATAGTTAAAAGAACCCACAACCGAACATGGGAACATGCTCTAAAATAGTTCTTGGATATATTTTGACTTCATAAGAAGAACTGACAGAGGAAATCAACAGCGAACGTGGCTGTAGTTAGTGTTAGGGTTTAGTCTACGTATGTCATACAGTAGTCTATCCGGTTCCCGTTACCCGTTGCTGCAAGAGCAAATACGATTGCATCGCGAAGGCAGGGTTACAACCTTGCTTTCTTTGTGGGCCGAGGCTAGTTGATCGCAGAAGGTACATCCACCCGCACGTCACGCATCGTGCACTTGACTCTCCACGCGACAGAGGTACATTACGCGTGTTGGTGGTGGCCACTTTGCATGTATGGCTATGGATCTTGATCCGCTTTGTGGAATTGGTTTTTCGTCGGACTGCACAAGAACAGCTCCAACTGTTCCGATCTTGTACCATCACGACGTTCGATTTTACCCTCCAGCAGTACTTGTATCCTGCATCACATGTATGCTACAAATGGCCCGAGACTCTTCCACTATATTTTACCGGAAACGTCCGTTGTCTAGATTGCCCATGCGATGGCCAGGAACAGCTCCATGTCAAGAATTGACACTGAAACAGAGACGAAAGAAAGAGTTCCGTCATTCGTGAAGATCTGCAAGTAGACCAACGGACAAGTCCATGAAGATGGGCATGGAAGATGTCAGGAGGATCCGGATGGTTTGGCAGACAGAGATCGGAATTGTCATTCATTGACTGTGAGGACTCCGAATACAATCTTTGGAAGAAGCTTTTTTTCCACGACTGCGGTGCACCTTTATATATGAGCTGTGTGTACCAGGGATCTTACGGATGGCCTGTCGGCACACGCTGAGACCAACAGCGATTCACACCCTTCCACCAGTCCTTCTCCCCGACCAACCCCAAGCTCTCACGAAGGCCCCGATGTACGCATCCGAGAAGGTGAGCTGGTGAATGTGGAGGTCCGAGCAACGTACCTGTAACCTATTTGTCACTGACTGCTGTGGGATCCATCTGGTGAGAAAGCATGACGAGAAGTTGACGGCAGTTTGCAGCATCCACCTAAGCACGACCTTTTGCCCGCTGTAGGCGAACCGAGCTCGCCAGCAATGGTCTATCCTACACCTACACCCGAAGCCCGTAGCGCGCCGCCTTGGTGGTAGAGCGGATGTGGCTGTGGAGGTTGATGATGGCAAGCAGCCACCACTCATCAACTCGCCTCAGCCTCTCAATGCCGACAAGATATGAAGTCGTTCAGAAAACCGAAGATCATATCCAGACGCAGCAGGCGATAATCTGGTATGTATCACCGATCGGGTCTTCTACCATAGGTAGGCCACGCCTTGCACTGAGATTCTACGTTTGTCGTGATCCCGCTACACGCTGTCGAGTGCCATGTGGCGCGCTTTCCCCTTTAGGAGGTGGTGCTTTCTTTGGGCGTGAGTTGCTTCTCCTATCGTTTCACTAGGCTACTATTGTACTCCCGTCTAAAACCAGAGGGCTGAGCACCTGAAACGGACAGATGTAGAGATAGCTCCAGCGTTTACCTCATGTGACTTTGTCACCGTACGAAACATCGACCTGCTGAGAATGGTTAGACATCGTTTCCGTATTGTTTGCCTGCTCGAAGGAAGGAAAAAAGCTGCCTGCCATCATCAGCCCGTTGCACGACGGTGCTCGCGAAGCTGCCTCGTGTGATCAAAGTCACCCAAAGAGGTCAAGCTAAATTCTTAATCTCTCTTGTTTGTCTTTTGTCTTGCCGAGTATGTTGAGAGCGAGCCCCTCCTAGCTTTGATGTGCTCCCGTCTCTTTGGAGCCCTCCCTGAGTATCACCACTGTTTCGATTTCACCGCTGAACGGTTCGATATGAGAACTTGCACCCACATTAGATTTTTGCTTTTGGTGCGCTTGCACCCAACAGGCGCGTACCCGCAGACCAGAACACAAAAGGTAGCACCCTTTAGCCTAGAGGTTCCGTTATTATTATTTTTTTTTCTTTCTGAAGCTCTGTCTCCGACCCAACTTCAGAAGTTTCACCCTCTTATTCCTATTTCACCGCCTTCGCCCGACCGTGCCTCAAACGCCGATCTCGACCTATGGCGCACGGCTCTCGACCTCTCGAATACGTCTTGATAGGGCATCTCAAATCATGTCCAGGGGCCAAGCTTTGATCAACTTCCGCGTGTAATAGCGAACGTCACAAGTTGGATGCCATGTGCAACCGTGCGCGCTGTGTCTCTCTCGTCATAAACTGGTTCGCCGTCTTCCTGTTCTCATCGCTCTTTTTGAAAGATTCGAATCTCATGGTCACTTAGAAAAATATCAGTAGACCGATGTCCACCACGGCGCACGTTTCGCGAGATGTTGAGTATGCCTGGATAGGGCATATGGCGAGCCATGCCCCCTCGCCGAAGTTCACCCCCCGTCCGCGCGCAGCAGCAGACACCGCAAGTGTGCGGCCAAGCGTTTCCTCGTCTTCACCACTTCGCCGTCTTGCTGTCACTCTTCTCTTCATCGTCTGCAATCATTTCGGAAACAGATGAATGCCTAGTCTTCGCCTTTGTTCTGAAAAAAGGAATCTATCCAAATATTGCAGGAATAGACTAATAGCGGAACATTTGAATGTCAACTTGGTTGGTGGGGCTTTCCGGCCGCCTCACTCAATGAATTTCGGACAAATAAATCTTACTCCTCCTGATCTATTGTATCAAATTCGCAAATTGAATTTCGCTTCTCCAATGTATTATCGTCGACAGATGTCGGACACAACGAAATCTCAGTTTGTTGTCTTTCCGTGCCATTCGCTCAATGAATTTCGAACAATTGAATCGCGCTTCTCCTATTATATATTGTCGAATCATTTATCGCAGAAAATTTTGGAAACCATTAAGTCTTTCGGGGAGAACTTTATATTTTACATCGTACAAAACTGAACAGGAAGGTAGTCTTTGCTGTTGGTGCTCTGCTGTTTGTGTTGCTGTTGTTGGTGGTGTGGTGCTGGTTCTATTTCCATGAGTACTTGGCCTATGGTCAAGGAATCCGTCTGATAGAAGGTACTTCTGGGGACGCCCCTTTTGTAGCGTCTGTTCCTTCTCCATGTCCGCCGTCTATTCCGGGAGGACCCCGCGGCCACCCCAATAAATAGATAGCAACTTCAGACTAGACACTCGTCGTGGTAATTTGTCACAATCGCACATAAGTACATGTGTTTCGCCAAGTTTCACCCACATGCAGATGTTTCCTTGAGCTCTTGAGAGCGTCCGACCCTCAAACTTAGAGCATACCGTTCGTTGCACCTCTACAGTACACCAAAGGTTTGCTACACTTAGAGAGCTAACCGAAACCGGCCAGCCGTGGTTTCATGTCGCTGTTGTTGCCTCATGCTTGGGGTGATCAAATAAGAGTTGGTCTGGTTTCTTTCTTGGGTGCAAGCCCGCATGCCGCGCATGTTTATGGACGCAGTTTGTATGCATGTGCACCGCCTGTATACATGTTCGTGCCAACATCCGTACCTGATGCTCGGTGGTCTGTACGGTGTTGATTGCTCTGCACCTCTGCTGACACCGCCATGACATGGCTCGATTGCTGGAAACTACACGTTTCTGCTCATTGTGCTGATGTTCTTCATTTATTCTTGAAGCTGGCGTCTTCTGCCGGGATGTTCGACACGACAAGCCCATCAGCCCAAAGAGAATCAGGGCCTTGTCATAGACTACAGCATGTCAGAGCAAAAAATGTCTGGGAAATGATTCACAAACATTTCTGTACCTAGTCTGACGAGGGATGTCGCGGAGCTCGTTTGTGTGAACGCGCTCAATACCAATGTCTTGTAATGGACAAGTACGGCATCACCCTCGCTCCCAAGAAAAGAGGATCTCGCCAGCGGTGGCCAAAACAACCGTTTACGATGCGTGATCTTCTACAGGTTTCTTCGTTCCGAGGATGAACTACGAAGAAACGTATGAAAACAATATCCTCCGAAGAGCGTAACGGTAGAAGGGCGATTGGGGTCGACACCTCGTCGTTTGGTGCAGTTGATGTTGTCGAGGAAAACTGTTACAACGTAGTCAGGCACAGTTTACCATAGGTGCGACTGCGGCAACTAGCAGCCTTCCGTAGACATAATACAGAAAGAAGAGATGGTACTCAGCAGAGAACATGAGCACATTCCAGAGTTGTAGCGGAGATAATTTGGCAGGCGAGACTGTCGTTGCTGTATTGTTCCGAACCCCGAAATTCGGTACTCGGGCCATTACTCCGGAGACCCTCGGAACCTGCTGTGTTTTTGCTGCTTGTTTTTTGTTTTTGTTTTGTTGTTGAGATGAGACACAAGCGCGCCTTCGCCCCTTGTGCTCACTCTCATCTAGCACCCATCAAAGCCTGACCAGGGAGTCAGTTGATAAGAACATCTATCTGCATTTCTCTTTCCAAAGCTCGCTCGGGCCTACCGATTTCACAGCAGTGTAGACCAACCTCTGTGATAGAGCGGTGACAGCAGTGTAACCTCTGTGGTAGACTACAAAGTCTACGAGCTACAGCGGCACCGCCACCTCCGCTGCTGCAAGACGCCACATTCTGTGAGGTTATGAGCCTCGCTTTACGCGAACACTAGGAGCTGCGGACGTCACGACGGAGGTCAAGACATCCTACTACTGCTGTGGACTACAACATCCGTCTGTGGACTTCGAGCGGAAATCTGGATTCGGAGATTTGGGAGATCATCAACGGTCAGCGGAAACGAAAGTGAGCGCACTACTTGGTCATCTACACCAAGGGGCAGAGAGTTCATTATACACACACGTTACCACTGCTGCAATAGCAGTAGTGGGTACCTCTGTGTTGAAAAAACAGCAAAGTGTTGCGCGGGAAGCCTCGATTTCGACATCGAGCAAATACTTCTGCGGCGGAGACAGGAGGGAAGACTGTATCAACAGCGAAAGTCGACCGGGAACCGTAGT